TGATGTGCCTTGACAGGGGTCCCCAAAAGTCTAATTTGGCCAAGGATCATGGGAATCCCATAATTACTTTTTCCAATTATCCCTGCAAGGGAAAGTTCACAGAGATGGATACGCATGGTACTGTGTCACACAATATATCCAAGGGTGCCATAGGAGCACAGTGAAACTGCATAGGATGCAGTCTGTTCATGTCAACATTAATGAGAATGAATCTGAGCTATCCATTCCCAGAGGCACAATTCTTCATTGCTATTTGAAGCACTTGTGGAGAGGTGAGACGGTGGGAAAAAAAAGCATACAAACATGGGAAGAGTGGGTGTCATAACAGCCTGGAGTAGAACTAGTTCAGTTACTCATTCCCTAAATTACAGGTCTGAACACAAAAGAAATGCATCAATGCCCATTATCTCCTGTGACTGACTAGAGGGACAGGTCTGCACTCCAAAGCAAGCTGTGCTGGGCATCCCCCTGCATGTCACAGTACAGAGTAAGAGAGGCAATATTGGGACTGAAGAGGAAAAACATAAAATAAAAGAATAGGAAAGGAAAAAGCAGAAAGGAAGAAGCAAGGGATACAGAAATGTGACAAAAGCTGGATCAAAAATATAAAAATGCAGAGAATAAACCAAACAACTTGATATCAGCATAACTCCATTGACTACAACAGAGTTACTCTAGCTGAAGATCTTGGCCCAAAAATTCTAGGAAGGAAAGGGGCAAACACAGAAGCATGAACAGTATAATTTTTAAACTGCTTCAACTGTGATTGTTTTCCATTAAACCGATAGCTGGAAAAATTTCTGGAATAACCATTATTGACAGCTGGAATAACATAGCTGAGTAATCTGGAGACAGCTAGAAGAGTATAGAAATAAAGGTACCATGGAATTGGTATGCACCCTCACATGGCCAAAGTTGATGAAAATAGCGATTCTATGAATAGAAAATACCCTTGTTGACATGCTACAAGACAGAGATCCAGTGAATAAAACCAAAACTGATCATTGTATTGTTCCCAATCTTGAATCCTATGATTATGGATGAGATCTTAGAAAGAATAAACATGAAAATGGAGGACAAATTCTCTAGTTTCTACAGTAATGCCTCCTTCTAAACAATTTGAGACCCTATATGCCAACAGTTAGGAGGTCAGGTCTAAGCACTTGGATCCTGAGAAACACAAGCAATCATTACGACCCTTGGAAACAAGGAACTTCTGAATCGCAGCAGTACTAACTTACTAAAATGGCTAGTGTGCTGCCCATTAGTCCATTTACTAACAGAGAGAGCTAAGGAACAGGAACAATAAAGATTGCCATGGATCCATTGTTTGTTCTCTTGACTGCAGACAATGTAGGAGTTTCATTCATTGGAAGGTTTCTTTTTTTTGTCTTTAAATAGATTTACCATGTACTTGGGTGGACTTTGTAAGTGCATGTATCTGTATTAAAAGGACATGTGGGGGATACTTTTTGTAGGTGGACTCTGCTGTACGCATTTTGATAGATTTTATACATATTACTGAGAGGTGGCTCCTTATGCACGTATCCCACACAAAAAGTGATTAAGCTAGAATTAAAATAGCTTAAACACACCCACAGGTTAGTAAGCCAGGAAGTCTTATGTGGAAGGTGCATTTGAACAATAAATTAAATATATGAAAGACTTAATAGTTGAAGTGTGAGGAAATAAACATGTATGAGAAACTGTGGAACAAGAAATGAACCACACAATGGATTCTCTTAAGTATGGTCTCAGCAGAGCTTGTGGATTCTATCCCATTTACCTAGACCAGCTTGTAAAACCTCTCATGCCCTCAATGAGTTAACTGCTTTGTTTATCCCTTTTGATCTCTTCAACTCACCTTTCCCTCTCAGGAATGCCTCCCTCCCCCTATTCTTTCCTCCTTTCTCTATCCTGTTCTCTGAAAGTCCATTCATAGCATCTAATGAAGTAAGCATAAGCTATAGCCTACAAAAGCTTATCTGAAAAGGCTAGTCTTTAAGGGCTCTTATAAACGTGGGGGGAGCCAACCCTGACATGCTGGAAATCCAGCGTGTCGAAACAGAATCGATTGATCGAGTCTGCTGGAGCGCGGAAATTAACACGCTCCAACAGACCCCAGCATCACATCCATCACTGACGATGTTATCATTCAATGAGCTTTAGTTCAAAGCACCCCACCGCCATTCTTCAGCTCAGTGGACGCTGGCGCACATGATGCTTGGACACTTTTAATTGGTGCGGCTCACTAATCAAAGAAAACCCCCCGCCCCCTCCCAACGCCTCCCGGAGCACGTGTAAAAATGTCCTTCGATGCCACCCTGCTCTGCCCTCTGCCTGACTCAAGGGTAACATGGATACCTATATTTACTTGTGAACTGACAGTCTTAACACATTCAAAATTGGTAGGTCTCACTTCTCAAAAAATAATCTTGTGCATGACAGATCTGAAAATGCTGAGAAATAATCTAAGAATACCCATATGAACACTATAACACCGACAGTGAGGTATATCAGATTGTAAGACCTGACTGATCAAAATGCACTAGCTTTGCTTAACGGGAGACGGGGCTAATGAAAAAAAGCAAGCGAACAACACGGTAGCTATGCATAAGCAAGTCTCCAAAAACACATTTGTGGGGACAACTACAAGGCAATGACAATACTCTTGCCTAAAGTGACACAGCTATTTTGCTACCCTATGCACTAATATGCAAAAGGGCGATAAGCAGTTAAAAGTGCTTTCAGAAGCTGAAGAGGAAGGGGCTAGGAGCATAGGTGGGATCTGTCCACAACTTCAAGCTGAAACTAAAATGGTTATGGGATATTGAACCATGAAGAAATTAGACCTTCTCCAGCTTTGGAGAATGGTGAGCCTTAGGAGGGAAAAAACTGGTAGAAGTATGGATTGGTCACTTCATTTAAGATCTATTTTTCTTAAGTTCTTTCATGTTAAATACTTTGCCTTAAAAATGGCTCTGTGATCACTAGTTGCCACCACCATCATTGCTTATAAAAGGAAAAGAACTGCACACCTTGAAATAAGTCAGGGTCTACACTGAGATAACCATAGTTAAACATGGGGAACTACCGCCTAGGGTCTAGTCTGATCATTTTTAATGGACTTCATAGAGAACACAGGTCTAGTCTTTCCCAACAACAGCAGATGCTTTAGAAGAAAGAAAATTGGAAAAGTGCATCATTATTTATTTTAGAAGATTCAATACAGCAGCAAATCTTTGTAGAAGTCCCTCAGATTTTCTTTCACCTCTATTTTGCTAGGAAATGTCTCTCCCAAGTGAAGGTATGTCCAAAACAATTGAAAGATTTTTTTTTTTTTTTTATTACATCCAGACTGGTTTACTAACATTCACAGCATCCAAAGCTGAATATGAAAGACTTCAGCACATGGTGATACTACCTCCAAAAAAGAAAAACCAAAACCACAGATCCCTACTTCCTCCAAAGGCCTGTGAGGAGTTAAATGTGCAGCCCCAGGCTCTCACCCAGTCACTGCTCCCTCCTTTACTCCAGCTGCAGCAGCAGTCTCTGGGTTCCCTCCCTCCTTTGGCTAGGGGTTTCTGCCTCCGCCCTAGCGGGTGGACCCTTGCAGGGAGCTGGGGCTGAGTAGGAATTTATCTAAATTTGGGAGGGACTCCATAAGCTCTACTAGTGACTGCTGCAAAACATCTAATAATGGATAGCAATGAAAAACACAAGACTAATAAAATTCCTTGGATATACAGTCAAGACACTAATTCACAAAAGAAAACAATAGAGCGCACCTTTTTACATATTCTTTTAGGGAGCTGAAGGCAGTTTCCTCCACCCAGAAGCATTCTTTTTCCTAGCAAGCAAACTTCCTTCAAACCAACTTCCTTTAAACATAGGTGTAGCATCACTCCACCTCAAATTGCTAAACAAATTCTTTCAAATCTAGCTTCCCAGACAGATGTTACCACTTCCTTTGGCACAGGATGTTGAATGCCAAGGATCACTCTTTTAGGTGCAGGGAGCCTTTATAACCACTAATCGAAGAAATAAAACAAGCTTCAACAAGAAGGCTGTTTTTAAACCTACAATGTTCTAGTACTTGCATCCTATTAAGTTCCTTTGCTATGAAATTACTTTCCAACTAGGTAAATATTTTTCTTACAAAATTCACATTTAGTGACATTAGATATGTAAACAGTAAAGTACTGTATTTTCTTGTATACAACACACACCTTTTCTTGAAAAAAAAAAAAAAAAAGAAAATCAAACAAGCCCACCTGCTGGAAATTGGAGTGTGTACCACATGTGAGAAATATGGTAAGCGAAAGGTTCTGCCATTTATGGGTGATCCACAGGGAGCTGAACAATGGACAGGATCTGCTCCCTAGCTGCTGCTATTCAGCTGCTCACTACACAGCAAAATCTTTCCCCCCCTCACTCCTCACACTGCCTTTCAAAAGCAAGTCATGCATTATATTCTGGGGCATGCTGTGTGCAAGACAATATAGTATATAGAAGCTTTTTTTCTGATGGGTGGGAGAAAGACAATTTGGGCGTGCCAAAACCCAAGTACAAAGCATCTTCATGCATAAAACCTCAAATAAAGTTAACAGTTAAACACTGACAGTAACACAGTCAATATACTACAAGCAGTAAGCTCCATTTTTAAATTAAGTCTCTTGTTAACTAAAAACAATCATTTTGGGATTTCTATGCATTTTTAGAAAAATTAAATTCACCACTGTATAGTACAGCTAAAGCACGTTAAAGTGAAAACAAATGTTTTTAATAAAATCCCCACATAACCATTCACTGCATTTTTTCAAGAGCGTTAAAACTGTATTTGCTTTATAAAGGCACACACCTAGACACCATTTGTAATAGCGTGGTAATCCTGCTTACTATTATCATTTGGGCAGTACACAGACTCGTAGTATAAAATCAGGACTATTTTTTGTAACACATCAAAAATAGCTTCATCATTAGTATTACTTTCATCTTACCTCAAGCACTGGTCCAGCTCCAAGAATAATCTGTTCTACTCCGCTAGCAAATCCCTTCTGGCTGAGAGCAGTGAGGTGATGAATAAGAAAGTTTGTGCTCTGTGTTTTCCCTGACCCACTTTCTCCTGAAATGACAATGCATTGGTTCTTCCTGCGCTGAAGCATTGCATGGTAGGCCACATCAGCCACAGCATAAATATGGGGCTCCAGCTTTCCAAGCTGATGGTTATCGTACATTTTGACATACTTCGGATTGTAAATAGGGAGAAACTTGAATGGATTGATAACTATTAGGATGCTGCCTACATAAGTGTAAATTTTTTCCTGCTTAAAGCGGTTTCGAAGATTTTCCAAGAGTGTTTTCTCATTTAAGTCTGGTAAACTACACAGGTCATCATAGTCCTTCTGCGGTGGCTGAGGAAGGAATCCACGTTCCACCATCCTGCGACGCTCTTCCGTCACCCGTAACCAGGACTGGAGGCTGCCATAATGAATTGACCCATCGAGATTCTTCTCTCGCAGAAGGAAACGATAATCCTCCCCGCTCAGTCGGTTCTCAAGTGCCATACGGGGCCACAACATCATGCGCTGGACTGGGCAGTCCGTAGGGTTGAGAATCCATTCCTCCCCACCAAACTCCTTCACCTCTGCTAGGACATAACATTTTGTTTTGTCTAGCTGGAGTTTATTAATGAGAGAGTCTATCACCTCAGCAGCTGTTGAAGTTTTTCTGGCAGTAATGGGGCAATAGATAGTCCCTTCAGCAATGTTCCCAGGGTATATGTGTAATGTGAACTCACTGTCCTCAAAGCGTCGTCTTCCTCCAGCATCATTTACACTCATATTGGACCCCTTGCCATCAGTACCTGCAGTGCATCTTTAGAACAGTCCAGTATGCCGTCATGACATCACTAAAAATGAAGATAAACATTAAGACTTGTTTTAGTACACTAGATGAGCAGATAAGGCAATATCAGATAAGCAATACCATTAATCTCATTCTTAAGATTTTACAAAGGGCTTTGTCAAACTTTGCCATTTGGAAAGTCAACAGAATTGTAAAATACCATGGTACTATAAGGAAAACTAACTGCAGCCAGAAGACTTTTACTCTGCTAACACTAACCAGTTGAGACCCTATTCTACTCTTATACACTCAGAAATACCTCACATTAAAATCTTGATAATTCCTGGAAAACTCTAAAGAGGTATTGAGGATTCAAAATTTCTGTCTAGTTTCAAATTAATATGTTCTATTGTGGGTAAAATCATGGGGAAAGTGTGGCATTTTGCAAGCAGTATAGGAATATGTTGGGGATGCTTAGGTCCAGTAGGTATATCATTCGTAAAAACACTTCTACTATGCATAGAATAATTTTAGTTTAGTTTGCTTGGTTTGACTGCCTGCTTTTCCATTTTTAGATATTTGAAGCAAACTGAGCAGGAACATCATTTAATAAATGGAGTGCCTGAAAAACACCTCAACTTTTCTATTCAGACTACCCAGATATAACCAAAGTCTAAAACGCCTCCTACACAAGCGTGTTGTAACACAATGTTTCTTAACTATTTTCAGATTTTGAACAACGGTCACAGAAAGCTTATTTTAAAAAAAATAAGCAATGACCTTCAATCCCTATACTACAGGCATTTTCAAAAGAAAGGAAAAAAGGAATGAAACTGCCTTCCCCATTACTTCAGAATTTTTCCTGTACAAACTTCCTACGATGACATTTAAGCAAAAGCACGGTACTTCAAAACATCGAGAGACTATGCACAATGATTGCGTGTTGCCCAAAATTGAGATGCTAATTTTTCTGACTTCTTGCATCACTCAACCATTAATGAACATTAGAATTATTATTTTTTCTGAGCATTAAAGATCCCTGGGGATCTTTAAGAAGAGGCTTGATGACTACCTGGCTGGACTCAT